GTTAAATTAATTACTTTAATATTAGGTCGTTTAACTGTATATAATGCATTAGAAATTCTTAATGCTTGTGCGTGTGCATTAAGTAAATTTGGTGTTACTTTAACTTTTCGAGCAAAAACACTCATATCTGTAATTTTTAACAAAGGATATTGATCTGCTGTCATTGCTGCTGTTTCAGAAACTGTTGGCCATCTTTCATTTGCTTTAGTAAATTCTAATTTAATTGGTACACCACTAATTAATAATTTATTTGTTGTAAATATTGGCCCATGTAATTTTCCGTAAAATTGCATTACTTTACTAGCATTACATAAAGTTGCTAAGTGTTCATTTGGATTTTCATAATTATATGCTGGTGTCCAAAAAGTTGTAACAAAGCCAGATGATGCAACAGTTGAGTTAGAATAATTTGATTGCTCAGTAACCGCTTCAATAAATGACATATAATTATAATTTTGAGCAGCTTGGCTCACTAATGTTGATCCTAGATAAATAGCTAATTGATCAAATGCTGTGTTTAAAACGTAATTAGTCGGCGCAAAATTATTAATTGCTGCTGCAAAATTTGTTCCGTCTCTGTTTGTTAATTTACAAGTCAAATATAAATAAATATTTCGCATATCAATATACTCATCAGCTGATGCTTGAATTTCAAAATCAATTGTGTTTGAATCTATTACATTTGATTTAGGTCGATATTCAAGTATTTGTTGACTCTCAATTGTTCCTTGATATTTTACTTTTTCAAATAAATCTAATTCATCTTTTAAAATTTCAGTTGCCATATTTAAGCAAATATATCCAAATTACGTTTTTGTTTATTTTTACCTTTTTTTGATTTTTTAATAAATCGTTTTTTATTTTTTTATTAGTTCTGGGTTTTCTTCTTAAACCAGAAACTTTGTTTTTATAAATTTTAGTTTTTACAGATTTTGATTTATGTGGCAGAAAATCAATATTATTAGGTTCAATTTGATTTATACCTTGAATTGGTATTCCTTCACCTTTTTGATTATATTTTGCTTGTGCACAATAATATGAATTATAATCCATTCTGATAAGATGTACACATGTTGCTATTAAAAATACAACTAAGTTATATTTTGTACTGAGGTCTTATTATAAGCGTAGCAAATAATTTTCCTTTTCTAAAAATAAGATTGTTGTTTTCTTCATCAGTGATACGCAAAGTGATTGTATTAAATTCATTGTATTTTAATGGTATAAAATTTTTAACGTTGAAATCAATTTTTATAACATCATCTTTTTCCGAAATATTTGTAGGGATAATTCTTAATATATTAGATTTTTTATTTTGATAATTAGATTCAATAATTATATTACAATAAACAATTAAATAATTTATATTTCTCGAGACACTTAATGGACGAACATCACTTTTTATTTCTTCTATATTATTAATAGATGTTTTTAAAGCGTTAGGAATGTCAGAATTTTGATATGTTAAATTAATTTTTTCATTGTTTATTATTTTATATAAGGAAAAAATATCAAATAAATTATTTATATTATAATTTTTCAAACCTAATAGTTTTTTTAAATTTTCGTTAAAATCAATATAAAAAACACCTCTTAACAAATAATATTCTACTTTCTTTTCATTGTCATTTATTGCTTTTTTATTTGTTGGTTTTATTTTTTCATATTCTTCTTTACTTATTAAAACATCATCATCATGTAAATTATACCAAAATTTTGTTGGCATATAAAAATTTCCATTTTTAATTTTATAGATATTTTTTGTACTATCAAAATCAAATACAATATTATTAATTTTCCATTCTAAACCAGAACTGTATTCTCCATAATTACCAATTACCTTTGTTGAAGGCATTTTGAATGTTTTTGGATATCTTTTTTTAATAGTATTTTCAATGTTTCCATTAATTTTAGTTATTATTTCTTTTATATGGTCTTTCCAATGAATATCTTTGTTATGTAATATTTCGTAATTTTCAGTTATATTTTCTCCTAATGAATAATTTGAATCAAACTGCACAACAAATTTTGTAATATTACTTAATCTATGTTTATCGTGCTCAACAATATCATTTTTTATGTCACCATAAAATGATTCTGGTACCCATTTGAAATTATAAGTAAGAACTAAATTTTCTAAAGGTTCTTTTAAATCAAGCCTTTTAGGAATAATTAGCTCAGCTAAAGCACACTCTTGTGGTTGTTTAAAAGATATGGATGGATTATAATCTACTTCTACAGTACATTCGTTATTATTATTAGTTAAATAAAAGTATTTATCATCACTTTCAAAATAATTCATTTTTAATCAATTTTTATTAATTCATTAGAATAATAAGAACCTCTTATAATTACACCTTTTTTGTCTTTTACTTTATATTTATAATAAGGTGATGTATAAAATATTTTATGTATTATAAATATTTCATTGCTATAATTAGGAATATATCCTTTTTGAAATATATTTCTCTTTAATTGTATTCTCACAAAATCACCAATTTTGTAATTTTGATTTTCTTGTGAAACTTTTATTTTGTATAAATTATTATATACTATTTTTTCATTATTTTTATTAACATCAACTGGTTTATATTTTGTTCTGCTGTGTGTCGTGTTGTTATAGTTATTAATAATATTTTTTAATACATTAATAAAATTTTTTGTTTTGTTATAATACATATATTTGTATAGTTTAACTTTAATTGTTTGATTCCAGCGTTCAACTACTCTGGCTTTAGATGAATCTTTTAGTACTAAATGTTTTATTTTTCTCCACTTTAAATATTTTTTAAATTGTTTATTAGTAAATTCAAGACCAGCATCAGTAGATAATATACTAGGTTTGCGTTTAGATAATTTAAATATTTTAATAAAAGCTGCTTTTACTGTTTTAGCAGTTTTATTTTTAAGTGGAATTCCCCATCCAAATTTTGATAAATTATCTATTACCATAAGTACATATCTATAATTCTTATTTATTGTAGGATATTTAATTTCAATTAAGTCTGCCTGCCAATTATGATCAATATAACGAGAAACAATTGAATTTCTTTTAAATTTATGTTTTACTGGTCGATGAATTCCATATACATTTTGTTTTGTTAACCATCTTTTAATTTCATTATATGTTATAAATGGATATTCTTCTTTAATTACTTTATATAAATTATTAATTCCACTAAAACTTGATGATTTTGTAATATTATAGTATGCTTCAGATATAGTTTTATTAATATTTTTTCCATTCAAATGATTTTGAGACATTAGGTAACTTATAATTTGGCTTTTCTAAATTTCTTAAGTTGTAATTACGTTTAGCTGTAAATAATTGTTTTTTAATTAACGATAAAACATTAGGTTTAATATTTAATTTATTTTGACCAAGTTTATTCTTATTTTTGAAAGTAGTAAATGCTTTTCTTCTTAAAATTTTTGGAGTTACATAATCATCATCATTATCTTCTATTTTTTGAGGGATTCTATTTATGGGAACATTATCTTCAAATACATTATTTGTTACATTAATATAATCTTTGTCTTCAATATTGTTAAATTTCCTTTTAAATATCAAAAATCTTCTTAAAGAATCAGCATATAATTTAGCTTTGTCACGCTCTGTATAATTTGTGTTTAAAATTAAATGTATTTCTTTGTCCAAGTCATTTAATCGTAATAAATTAGGTTCAGTTTGTAATTTTTGAACATTTAAAAACTCTGAAATTTTATTATTGGAATTATTATCATTCATTAATTTAAGTTTTTTAAAACTCATTTTACGTATATTTTTCTCTGACTTTATTTATGATTTTTTTACCAAAATGACTAATTAAATGAGATATTGCTTGTTGAACAAGTATTTTTAAAAAGATATTGCCACCTTTTTGTATTAAAATATTTTTTCTTTTAATTATAGGAGATTTTATAGAAAGTTGTCGCAATTTATTTTTATAAATTTTAAGTTTATTGAAATCACAAGTTTTTAATGGTATATTTCCAAGTAAACAATTTTTAGCTATTTCTGATATTGCATTTATAATACAATTATTAGCTTGTTTTAATAATTGTTTTCGATCTTTTTTTGTTTTTGCTGTACTTAATTTTTTTAAATATGAAACACAACGTAAAATATTTTTTAATTTATTTGTTTTTAATGTAGACGCATTGGTTTTCATTTTCATGAAAAATGTTAGATCTAACTCTTATATTATCAGGTGTGTTTTGGTCAAAATCCAATAATAAATAACTGAAAGGTTTGTTTTTTGTTGCATCAATATAAGAGTCATATATAAACTTTGGATTACTGCTATCAATTTGATTACTTAATATTTTGACAGAAAGTGTTTCCCTTGGATTACTCATTAAAATAACATATGTGGAATTAGTTGAAATATCACGCATATATTTATTTTTATGAAATAAATTTTGTATTAACAATATAACTGTTATATTTTTATGATGTGATAATTTAGTAAATAAATCACTTATAAATAAATCATTGCCTACAGTATGCATGTTATCATCAATTATTAATAAATTATTTTCGTTAGAATCAAACATTTCAATATTGCTTTTATCAAAAGTATTAACTTTTTTAATATTTATTCCATGAACATTGTTTATTATAGGAAAACCTTGTCCAGAATAATATACAATTTTGTCAAAATAAAATCCAAATAATTCATACATGTTATTTAACATTTTACAAACAAATTCAGTTTTTCCCGAACCCGATGGACCATAGATAATAAATCTTCTCGGGTGTTTAAATGTTGCATCATATGTTGCCATTACAAATTTTAAAATATTAATATTTAGTATTAATTAATATTACACTATATATTTATTAATGTCCTTGAATTTAGTTATAAATAAAGAAACTTTTTAAAATTTTGTTTTAGTTAATATTCGTTTATTATGGCTTTTCTTTCACCAAGTTTCAATGATTTAAAAATTATTATATGTTCTAATGGTTTCAAAATTGATTGTGAATTTATTTTAAGAGAAATTGGATTTTGTTTTAACAATATAAGTGGAAGTGTACCATTTAATTGTCGTATAAATCGAAATAAAATTGATGTTTCAAATCAATATTTAATTGACTACCTTGAAAATGAATTTCATGGATTAAAATTCAACAAAAAGTTTGAGTATGGATTATCAGCAAGTGAATTTGTTCCTGTTATTAAAGCAATATATCATTTAAATTCCAATACTAAAGCAAAGTATATTGGAATAACTAAAAATGATGAAGGGATTAAAGGACTATTATATAAAGCAGGATTTGGTCATTTAATTATTGAAATTGATAACATTAATGTTCTCAAAATTTGTGATAAAACTATTCCTACTGATGGAGAGTTAATGGTTATTCAACAAAATGATATAAGTATTCAACCTTGTAATATTCATGATAGACTTAAATCTATCTATAAACCTCTCTGCGCAAAAACTAAAGCTGAATATTTGTATAAATTATTAAACGACAATAAATCGGATTTAACTCAAGGCCAAGTTTTATATTAATATAAATAGTTGAAAAATTTTATTTTAAATCATTAATAATGAAGCCATTGAATAATGATATACCTTCTTTGAATAATCTTTATAAATCTGATAGTGTTAAACAAACTATATATAGTATTTTAAGTGAAGAATTTGACTACGTTTTTGATTCTCTATTAAATGATGCTAAATGCATCAAATCATTATTAGTTAAAGAAATAATTCGCAATAAAATTGACATTAAAGAAATGTATATTCAATATGGATTCCCTATGGAAAACTTGAAACAATTAAAAATTATATTGGATACAATTAAAGAATGGAAGACTAATGAAGATTGTGACAATGTATTTACCAATAATTGGGATAATGAGGTATATAATTCTAAAACTAATACTAATAACTAATTTTTAGTATTTTATAGGAATAAAAGAATTGTTCAAATAATCATCATTTGTTGGCACATATTATAATCAACTAGAAAAAACTTATTTTAATATTATTTGTACTGTACTTAATTTAATTAATAATTAAAAAATAAAAATGTTTTAATTTAATTTTTTTTTATTTTTTAAAATAAAATAATTACAATATTGAAAATATATATATATAAAATTATATAATGATATATTTTTTTTAATAAATTGGATATATATAGTTTATTTAAAATTTAACAATGATTAAATAATAGTATAAACATTATAATCTATAATTAAATATATAAAATAAAAATAGTTTTAAAAATTAAAATTAATAAACGTTATTATAATAAAATAAAAATATTAATAATATTTAAAATAAAATGTATTATTTTCCAGTAGAACCAAATCCTTTGTCAGCTCTTTTTGTTTGTTTAAAAGTTGCATTAAACATTGTCACTTTTTTCAATGGTAATATAATAATTTGTGCAATTTTATCTCCATGAATATAGGCAAAATTATTAATGCTATTATTAATCAATAGCACTTTTATTTCACCAGTATAATCTGAATCGATGACACCAGCTCCTATATCTATACCCTTTAATGCCATTGAACTTCGTGCACATATTTGCCCATAACTTCCATTCGGAATTTGCATTTTTACACCAGTTGAAATTAATTTTCTTTCATTTTGTTGCAATACTCCTACATCATTTGCATACAGATCATAACCTGCACTCTGTTCACTTCCTTTTGTTGGTATCTTTCCATCATTTATTAAGTTAATTTTCAATTGTTCATCTAAACAAAAAATAATCTTTATAATATTTAAGATTAACAACTAAATATATAATCTTACCATTCGGTACAATACATTTTGGAAGTGAAGATATACATTCAAATGATCGTTCATTATAATATTTAATATCTGCAACTATTGCATTGGCTAATAAAAGATCTTTTCTAAACATGTAATTGTCTAAAACATTTTCGTTAATTATTTCTATCTTAATATAAGTATCATTATTATCAACCCAAAAGCAACGCATAATTAAATTTACATTTTTTAATTCAATTATATCAAAAAATTTTCCAGCTGAAAATTTTGGTATATCATAATTGTTTTTAATCTTAATAATACATCTATTCATTGGCTCAATTATATAATCAAACAAAGGTATTATATTAATAATACCAAAAGATGACAATTTAATTAAACTTTTTTGAATATTATCTTGGGTAATGGGTAGAGATTTTTCAGTTATATAGGCTCCATTAATTATGTTATTAGAAATTTTTGCCACAGAATTCATATTTAATAACTGGTTTAATTGTTGTGGAGAAGTTATTTTTTTAATAACTATTTTGCTAAATTTTTCTAGAGATAATGGGGGAGTTGATGATGATGATGATGATGATGTTGATGCTATCTGATCGTTTAAATGAATTGATGAATTTTGAGATGTATCTATAAAAATTATAAATAAGATTTATAATGACCAAACGGAAGACAATTCACACCATCATCTAAAATGAATGATTTGTCGTCAAAAGGTTGTAATACAAATTTTTGTAATTGAACAGATTTCAAATTATGATTTTTAGATTCAATTTTGTTCATCGTTGTATTAAAATATTTTTCTTCATTTAAAACATTTATTTAATGATTATGTGTCATATAATTATTTATAATATATTTTTTTACACCTTTAGCCACACGTTTATTCATAACTTCATCATATTTAATAGAATATAATTTACTTTTTAATCCAATAAATTCATTTACTTGTTTTTCTCCATATTCTGATTTTAAATATCCAATCATTTTTTGATGTTTGTCATTATATAAACTATGATTTTTTGAAAAATTTGAGTAATCCATTATAGGTGAGAAATATTTTTTCAAATCTTCATAATAGTCGTTAGTTTTAATTTCATAAACTAAACTGTCCGTATCTGTATATAATAATTTTATTTTATTATTATAATGATTTTTAAAAACTTTGTAATGCATAGAATACATGTAATATTTAGAAAGTTCTAAAACGGAAAATCCAATAAATATTGGTTTATCTAAAGTTACATTTGTCTTATTCATTTTAATCAAAGCAGAGTTCTCAGTTAGAATCTGTGCAGTATTAAAATTTAATTTTTGAATATATTTATTTGCTTGTTTCCAATTTAAAGCAAATTTTATATCTATATGTTTTCTTTTGTCTTCAATACTTTTACCAAATACAGAATTATTCATTAATTTATACAAATCTTTTTCAAAATCATTTGTTGCAATTTTTCTAAGATTTGTATTTATTGATATATAAGATTTTAAAAAATCGCTTTGATAAAACTCTATTCCGCGGTGAATTTTTTTTAATTTTAATCCTAATTCCAAATACAGTTTTAAATTTTTAAAATTAATAATATATTTAGTTTTATCATAAAATGTTAATAATAATTTTTCCGTAGCTGATCGATTATATCCATACATTTTAAGATCTTTCAATAAATTGTGTTGATAATCACTTAATAAATTGTTTGTAATTTTTAATTTTTCTGGAGCAAGTGGAAAATCATGTTTGTCATATAAATTTGAAGGATATTCTAAGTCACATTCTAAAATATATCCTTTGTCACCATTTGTTTCAATAGTATTCCAATTTATATTGTTAAGAGTAGTAATGTCAACCCAATTAAAATTTTTTAAAGGTAATTTTTCGCTAAGACTTTTACCATATAGATTATTTACATCTAAATGAGTTAAAAAGATAGTGTCGTTTTTATCATCAAAATTTTTACAATATTTATTATTAGCAATTGAATGTCTTTTAAAGACATTACAAATTCCTCCTCTTATTCCTTGTTCAATAAACATGTACATGTCAATATCTTGCATTAGTTCAATTTCTATTTTTGTTAATTTTAAAGCGGCGGCCCACGCCAAACCAGGTATAGAATAAAAATGACAAGGTTCAAGTTCATATTTATCAAATATCATTTTTCTAAAAGTTTGAAAAATATCACATAATAAAGCTGTATCCAATAAACAATAGAAATCATGATATTCTCCCAAATTTTTAATTTTCATTATTTTCCAAATTTTTTTAGCAAAATTGTAATCTTCAACACTGATTGATGTATCATTTAATTTAGAATAAAATTTTTCAATTGTTGGTAACTCTGGTTCATCAAATTTTTCCCAACTATCCATGTATTCATATGGATATACTCCTTTTTTAAATAACATTCCAATAAAGTCATTATTAATTTTATTACAAAATATTTGTTTAGTTATCGAAAAATTATTATTTGAAGATTTTAAATTTTTTACTAATACATCTAAACTTTCACTTAAAAATTGGCACGAATCAAGTACTTTTATATTATCCAAAGATATTGAAATAAATTTTTCTATAGATTGTGGTATAACAGTACAGCTTTTAAAATAATTTGATTGTAAACTTGCTATTATAAAATGCGAGTCGTAATTTTTTAAATTGTGAAAAAATAAAGGTATTTTATAAGGTAGTTTGAATCTTATGTTACACATTTTATGAGCAGATCCTCTATATTTTCCAGTTAAATGATCATGATCATAAACCTTATCTTCAGGTTTAATATAGTTTTTACATAAAAAACAAATAGTTGATAAATGATGTTCTTTTAATTCAGAATCAGTAATTATCATTGAATTTTCTTGAACTAATTCAGCATTTATTTGTGTTGAAATTAAAGATAATGTATTTAAAAAATGATTCATACAGTTTTTTCCTCTGTAAACTTTATAAAAGTAAATTTCATTTTGATTTTTTATAACAATAATAGAGTAACCACAAGCGACATGTTGAGCTGTTTGTTTAGTTTTTTTATTAAGTTGCGATTTTTCTTTTACTAATAAAGATTCAAAATCAGCATACATTACATATGGAAATTTATACATATACTCATAGTGTTCAAATTTCATAGTTGGTTTTTTTGACATTTTGACAGTAAGAGGTTTAAAGTGTAAACAATTTTTATAATGTTCGTTTAATTTAATTTTAGTTAAAAATCCATTTAAGCAATTAGAACAGAAATGTCGATAATTTGCTTGCATACTTCCACACAGTCTATTGAAATTTTTAATATAATAGAAATGATTATTATACAACAATAATTTAATAGAATGCTTTGCTTTATGTTTTGATATATAAAGTGGTACAATTGATTCTTCATAAGTTGAAATTTTTTCCCAAGTATAAATATTTATGCGAATATTTAGATGTTTATTATTAATTTCAAATTTTTTAATAGATTTTAAATTTAATGGGAATTTTAAATTTTTCAAATTTATATATTTTAAAAATGGTTTAAGTTGAGATAAACGTTCTAAATGAGGACTTTTTTTATTATTAAACTTATTATAATTATTAGCAATAAATCCTAATACAGACCAAATAAAACATTTTTTATCATTAGTTTTTATTGAAATAATTGCACGTTTTCTTAACACATGATCAGGTAGTTTAGTAGTTTCACAACCCCCTTTTAGTGGATTGTATTTAGCTATTCGTACATCTAATCTGTCTATTTCATTTATTATCCAACCGCTACCAAGTGATTCAAATGTATTAATTTTATTATCAAAATAATTTATTAGTCGATTTATTATATATTTATTTTTATAATATTTATTTATTATAAAATTATCACTTGTAAAATAACTTATTGTATAACTTCTAACGCCAGCAGTTTCTTTATAAAATGTACATTGCAAACAAAATTGAATTTTTGTTGATACAAATTTTTCCAAGACATAATCAATTAATCTTTTAATATCATATTGATATTTTAAGAAAAAGTCTTCACTGTTTTTGTAATCTTCAACTGGATATAGTTCATATTGTTGAAGAAAATGTTTGAAAGAATGTTTTGATAATTTGAAGTTTAGATTTTCTGGTAATTTTAGTTTACTTATATTTCCTGATCCAGTTTGGGTAAATTCTATTAATTTATGTTTAATAAACGAAAA